AAAAAATTATTATTGAAATAAATGTAAAAAATTACACATATTTTATTTATTAATTAGATCTTTGGCACGTAACTAGAATTTTTTTTTTTGATAATTATTAAAAGCCAAGCCCAGATATTTAATATTTAAAATAAAATAAATCTATTCAATGTCAAAAAGTAGAAAATTATTAAAACTTATAAATAGAAATCAAAAGAAAATGAGTATTAATCATATTATTATTGGTCATTTTTTAGATTTAGAAAAAACTATATTCACAAAAAAATAAAGCATAAAATAAAGAAAACAAACAGAATAAATGAATAAAAAAAATAATGTAATAAAACAAAAATATAATAATAATCAAAAAAAAAAAAAAAATAAAATAGAAAAAAAATCTAATATAAGTAAAAAAAATATAATAAAAGAAAAAATATAAAAAAAAAATTAAGAAAAAAATATAATAAAAGTGCAAAAAAATATAAGAAAAGTATAAAAAAAATATAATAAAAGTGCAAAAAAATATAAGAAAAGTATAAAAAAAATATAAAAAAAATATAAAAAAATTGAAAAAAAATATAATAAAAATATAAACAATATACACTGTAATTTATATATTACTTAAAAGTGCTAGTTTCGGAATTCTGATCCTTCGCTTTGGGACTAACTTTCCTTCTTAATATTATACGATTTAATAATTTTTAAAATTTTCAAATTATGATACATAAAATTATTTTACAAAATTAAACATTTAATTTTTTAACTCTCCAGTATCTTTACATATTTCAAATAAATAAGTTTAATTACTATCTTTATATTATTATATAAATTATATATAAAAACTTTTCTAATATTAAAAATTTTTAATTTATTAATTAAAAATTAATTTTTAAAAAATTTATTTAAAATCAACAAAACCAAAACTAAAGATAATGCCACCATCATTTGCGGTTCTTCAAAAAATTAAACTAAACTAAATTAAATTTTTTTATCATAAATAAAATACCATAATTTTGTAACATTTGAGGGGCGTTTTTTTTTTTTTGAAGTGTAGTTTAGAACGTACTTTTTTTCTTTATGAAACCAGTAAAATCTACAAGAACACAACATAAAATGCCTTAATATGACCTTTAAATGCTTATAATGCTTATAGAATGCTTGGTAGCGTTCACCACCATCTGCTGTCAGTAATAAGTTGAAGAGGGCTCTTAGCTCTTATATTGTCTGGGCAGGAAACAAAAGGACACGCATAACGAGCATAATTTAAAAAAATTTGCGGGAAAGGCGTTTGCAAAATTTTTTAGAAAATTAAATAAGAACAAAACAAAAATCAAAAAAAAATAAGTATGAGGAGGAAAGTATAAATAAAATTGTGATTAATATTTGTTACAAAAGAAAAACCGAAACAGTTTTGAGCTAATTTGAGAAGGTACTTGAGGAAATCTATAGTTCCAGAAGTAGGTAAAGGGCATAACGGTTTAAAATAAATATTTAATTTATATAAAAATAGTTGTGTTTTGGGGTGAAAACTGTATAAAATTCTATAAGAAAAATAAAAAATTATTGAATGATTTGAAGAATTTTGGGTACATTAAACAGCTGACATACAGCTAGCTTAGAGGCTTAACATAACGCCTACTTTTTACATTCTTTAATTATTTGATAAGCTGCATCAATCACAAAATAAATACCAAAACATACACTTACATTAATGTACTTATGTACATGTACATATATAGCTATATATACATATCTATTCGTATGAAAAGAAAAATTAATTTTATGTATATACCGCCAACTGTGTGCGGGCTGCCGGTTCAGTACTATTTTTCTACTCTTATATTTTCGTATTAATTTTAAAGGTCAGTGCGGCGCTTAGCCTCAACTTCATCAATCCATTCTGTTTTTAAATTCGAAATACCAAAATACCATTCATATGATTGTTTCATTAGTTTTAGATGAATGCCCAGAGTTTACTGTAGAGGACCACACACATGCAAGACAATCAATTCCAGTATGTCGCACAACGAAAATGTTCGGGACTTAAGAGAAAAAAAGGGCATTAATATGAATTTATTCATAATAAGGAATTAAAAAATGCCCCGAAGATATTTGCTCAAAAATTTTAATCAAATTCCATACCATACCATGAAGTTTTATATTAAAATGTATTTAAGATTAAAATTATTTGAACAGACATACGTATAATAGTACAAAAAAAAATAGAATACTGAGACTAAAAACTCATAAATTACAATTATAACAAGATTTGCAAACTTGGAGGAAGTAATAAAATATAATATTTGGAACTGAGAGAAGTAAAAAAAAAATAAATGAAGATAGAAATTATCTTATTATTGCATACTGATTTCAAGCACTTACGATGAGTCAGGTGTCTATTAGAAGGAAATGGAAGAATTTTAAACGATAGGAATCATATTCATATCCTCTGTAAGCCCTAGCTTAAGTACGCTAGAAATACTGGTAAATATCAATATGTTATTTATAAATTTAAAGAATATTTTCATATATTTTATATAATTTTATAAAACAAATATATTTATTCTCATTATATATAGATCCGAAGAAACATGGACTAAGAGATGATATCAAAATAAGAAGTTTTTGGTATTTAACAGAAAGGTATTTTGAAAAACATATGACCCAATGTTACCAACGATAGCTCTCACTAAATAATGTACAATCACAACTTCGGTCGTATAATAGAGGAAGGAAATGTAATTAAACACAATAAATCTCTGACATCTATTGACTGTGTAGGAAAAGCGTAAAATAAATAGATTGATGATTTAGTAGGCAATCTTAACAGAATGGATGTAAACAATGGAAGAATCGTTAAATTAAATCAAAAAAAAAAAATTTAAACAATTTTAATTAGATTATAGTTATATTTTTCTTTATTTCTGCTGAATTATATATTATATTTAATATTGACTATTTGAAATCAATTAAATATATTTTAATGCTTTTTAAACTCTTGTGAATAAAGGGTTAAAAAAAATATGTTGAAAGTGTTCATAATGTAATATAATAAAGACTCCGCAGTATTTTAAAAAACTATATATATTCTTACATCCTGAAGCCACTTGCCAATCACGACGACCAAGCACTTCGCTTTACCCCCATTAGGGACTATACTAATAGGTAGGTGTTATGTTTGACATTTACAGTTTACGACAACAAATTCATTACTTATTATAATGAAACCATCAAGAGATTTACTAAATCTGTGCCTGTCTATTTACCTATCAATCTGCTCAAATGTAAAACTATCTCTTCGAGTTGAACCTAACCCAGAAAGGCTTTGTGTGAGGAATGGATG